AGTAGAGACGGGGTTTCACCATGTTGACCAGGATGGTCTCGATCTCTTGACCTTGTGATCCACCCGCCTCGGCCTCCCAAAGTGCTGGGATTACAGGCTTGAGCCACCGCGCCTGGCCCTTTCCTCATTTCTAATATAAGCATGCAATGCTGTAAAAGTCCCTGTAAGCACTGTGTTAGCTGTGCTGTCCCTGTGTTAGCTGCGAATTATTTTTTCTACCCTTGTGTGAGGGGAGAGCTGCAGATTTTGATGTTTTGTTTTTATTTTTATATTTTTCAAAATATTGTCAAATTTTCCTTGAGACTTCTTTGATGCATGATTATTTGAAAGTGTGTTGTTTAATTTCCAGGGGTTTAGAAACTTCCCTGTTATCTGGGAAATTAGTATCTAGTCTATTATTTGGAAAACATGCTTATGGCAAAGTACAATGCCCATCACTTATCAAAAATACATTTTTATGTCTATTTCATGAGCATTTTTTGCTTATGGTGATCACTAAAGTCTTTTGATTGGTAACAAAAGTGATACAGTAAATAGCAAATATCAGCCGAACAGAGTCCAATCTTTTTTCTTTTGACAGGTGGTCTTACTGACAGCTTGGGTAATCTGAAGAAACTTACAAAACTCATAATGAATAACATTAAGATGAAGAAGATGCTATAAAACTAGGTCAGATTTCTGTTCTCATATTTTTATTAATGTAAGTTTTATAATAAGAATAGTTAACTTCAGACTGTTTGACATTGACTTGTCTGTACAAGGCAAGGATGTTTTTATGTACCTGTGACTACACTGGTTTCCCTAGACATTTTCCCCACTCCCATTACAATCCTTCAGCAACATTTCATTCAAATTGTACAACACTAGACTGTAAGCCTTTTGGGAACAGAGGCCATGACATGTTTTTAACTTCCCTTTCCCTGGCTCATGGTCTATGTTTTTATTTAATGCATAGAAACAATAATTCAAAGTTTATACTATGGTTTCATAATTAAGTAAAACTTCAGAATGAAGTGGGACACAGGAAATAATGTCAATCAAGAAAACACTGGGGGAAGCATGCTTTCATTCTACACTGAACGTTGTGTTTCCCCAATCAAAAAATATAAAGGAAAACTTCCAGAACACATGGCTTACCACAGGGAACCAGGCCCTCCAGGCCAGGGAGGATTCCTGTTAAAGCTGCTTTCCTATGATGTCTCTGATGTTCCTATTTTTGTGTGTGTTTTGGGTTTCTGTTTCTTTCTTTCTTTTTTTGGCTTTTTTTCCCCCTACTCGAGTCCTCACTAAAATGTTCCTCTCTTCCCTTCACCTTGTTCTTTCTCTCTTTTTTTTTTTGAGATGGGGTTTCCCTCTTATTACCTAGGCTGGAGTGCAATGGCATGATATCGGCTCACCGCAACCTCCACCTCCTGGGTTCAAGCAATTCTCCTGCCTCAGCCTCCCAAGTAGCTGGGACTACAGGGATGCGCCACCATGCCCAGCTAATTTTTGTATTTTTAGTAGGGACGGGGTTTCACCATGTTGACTAGGATGGTCTTGATCTCTTTGACCATATGATCCACCTGCCTTGGCCTCCCGAAGGGAAGCTGGGATTATAGGTGTGAGCCACCGCGCCTGGCCACCTTGTTCTTTCTTATCCTGCTTCTTGCCAAAAGACAACTCTATGCTATAATCATAACATGGCTGAAGGCTGGGCACGGTGACTCACACGTGTAATTCCAGCACTCTGGGAGGTCAAGGCGGGCGGATCACCTAAGGTCAGGATTTCGAGACCAGCCTGGCTAACATGGTGAAATCCCACTTCTACTAAAAATACAAAAATTATCAGGCATGGTGATACACACCTGTAATCCCAGCTACTCGGGAGGCTGAGGCAGGAGAATCACTTGAACCCAGGAGGAAGAGTTTGCAGTGAGCCAAGATTGCTCCACTGCACTCCAGCCTAGGTGGCAGAGAGAGACTCCATCTTGAAACAAAAACAAAAACAAAAATGAAACATGGTAGCTGACTTCTTATTCCTTATATGGCCTACGTGAGAATAGGCAAATTAATTCAGTGTTCAATAAACATTTATTGCATGTGTATAAATTACAGAGAGAATCAGAGCTGGAAGGGGCTTGAGAGCATCTAATTCAACTCATTAATTTCACAGAAAACTTCACTGGAACCTAAAATGGCTTATTAACTTGCTCAAGATCTCACCAACTGGTAGAAAGAGGTCAAAATGTACCTCTCTAGGACAGCCTGGTTTTGCTGTTAAGGAATCAAAATGTGAACTCGACTAAATCAGTCTAATTATATTAGTAATAATTTACTCTTTATTAAAGAGTTACTGTGCAATAGATTAGACCCTAGCCCAGGCAGTTTCATAAACCTCATTCCATTGAATCCCCACAACAGTCCTTGTACATTGGTATAATGATCCCTAACGCTTCAGCTAAAAGATTGAATAACTTGCCCATGTTTGTAATTATTAAGTAGGGGATCAAGGAATTGACTGCAAAGTTCATGCTCATAACCTCTAACCTGTATATACTCCCATGACAACAATGAACATTTATTGAGTACTTACTATGTGCCAAGTACCACATTAAATATGTTACATTATCTGCAACCTTCCCAAAAGCTCTGCAAGATTGACATTATTAAAATCATATTTTTTTTTGAGACAGAATCTCACTCTGTCACCCAGGCTGGAGTACAGTGGTATGATCTTGGCTCACTGTAACCTCTGCCTCCTGGGTTCAGGTGATTCTAATGCCTCTCAGCCTCTCAAGTAGCTGATTATAGGTACATGCCACCACGCCCAGCTAATGTTTGTATTTTTACTAGAGGTGGGGTTTCACCATATTGGCCAGGCTGGTCTCAAACTCCTGACCTAAGGTGATCTGCCGGCCTTGGCCTCATAAAGTGCTGAGATTACATATGTGAACCACGGTGCCTGGCCATTAAAATCATATATTTCTTTCCTGTAGGCTAGAGTACCATAAAGATAAGGCAATCTTTTTTTTAATTTTTAAATTCTTTCTCAACCCTGTGAGATAAGGCAATATTTTAATGACACATAGTGAGGCCTAACCAATCCTAAACTCCACATTAGCTTTAGACCTAAGAATGAGGGATATCTTAGAATGTTTCCAATTGTACTGTTGATATAAGGTAAATCTTTCTTCTGGTTAAACATGATGCAGTGGATGTGGTCTTCATTCTAAAGCATCAGGCAGGCCCCATGTCATGAGTCCCAGGCAAGACTTTTGAGGCTGTAGACAGTGGCACTAGAAGCACTCCAAGGAACCAAATCTCCATGCTACCCCTCTGAACTCAGCCTCCCACGGTTTAAGATTTTTGAGAAGATTCAAAGGACAGTGCTCCTAGAAGCCTTCATCCATGAAAAGAATTAGGATAAGAGTATACACTGATGCCCATTAAAAAGGCTACAAATTTACTATAGTTTTTCTCACACTATTAAGAGAATAACCTCCATATAAGTGATTTTTGTGTAGTCCAAGAGACTGGAAAGTGAGAGTTGACAGAAAAACAGCTCTCTTTGTAAGTTAACTGCAGGAAGTGACCTTAACTTACAGGAAGAACATGGGAATGTCTCTGCACAATTATTTTTTGCTTTCTTTTCAGTTCATCGATCTATGCTTAAATCAAATTAACTTGGCATTCTAATGCATTCCTTTCTATCTTTTTTCAGCTGAAGATCTGACATACCTGAAGAAGTTGAATTTATTTCATTTGACTCACTTGTCTGACATTGGAAAGGGAAAGGATTACCATAGTCAAGTCTCTGTCAAGTGAACCCTGGCAACCCTGAAGAAATCCAATTAGCCTCCTGCTGCTTATCTGCAAATGCAGTGAAAATCCTAGATAACTTGTTTTCACTAACTGAATGAGGACAATATAACAGAACATGTGATACTATTATACTAATTCTCACTAAATGTCTCAAATGGAAATTTAATTTTAAGGAAAATTGGAAAAGATTATAAAAACTTCTAGATAATAGGCTGATTGTTTTTTTTTTTTTTTTTTTTTTTTTTTTTTTTTTTTTTTTTTTTTTTTTTTTTTTTTTTTTTTTTTTTTTTTTTTT